TGCTAATATGCATTTTTATCAAAAATTCTCGATGCTTTAAGTTAGTTGAATATTTTGTTATGTATCTGCGTAATTACTTTTTCAGAATTCGATAGACTGTTCTTACTAATTTGGCTGCTGTAGTCCCATTCTGCGAACCTACTAAAAATATTTTCAGCAAAGGGCCAACTTAACAATTTCATGTTGGGGTTTTAAAAATGCATGCAAATTTTCGTGAGAATTATAAAAGTTTTGTGATAATAATTATGAGTAAGAAAAAATGTAAGCATTATCTACACTTATTCCAGACTATTTCGAGGCTAGTTAAGGACTTTTTAGGGCCCCTTCAGGACTAGTGAGCGACTTTTTTGGAAGCATTTCAGAATTAGTTCAAGTTTTGTTTAGGCTAAGTTCAGGGCTTTTTCGGGACCCTTTTGGGACTAGTTCAGCAAAAGTTCGGTATATTGCAGCATTTTTTTCCAGAACTAGTGCAGATATAATCCGGAACTAGTCCTAAACTAGCCGCGAACTATTCTTGAACTGGTCACCAAACAGCCCTGAGCTACTTAATTCCAAAATAGTCCCGAAAAAGTGCCGCGCTAGCACCAAAATGGTCCTGAAAAAGTACTGACCAGTGCTGTAATGGTCCTTAATAAGTCCCGCCCTTAAAGGGGTAAATACTCATTTATTGAGAATTACATAAACATATTTACTTATGTGCTTACGTTGTTTAGTATAGGAATTAAATTAAATTCAGAAAGCTGCATACTAAAAATATTTAATTTATTTATATTTATTTATTTACGAACTACAAAAGTGCCAACTAAAAATATTTCATATTTTTTTTTATTTCCAGAAACGCAATCTCACCTGTACTGTGAAATAAAACAAAGGGAGAGAAAAATTCGAAAATCGGGCCGAAGTCCATTCAACACCACTGTTAACATACATACATACTCGTACATTCATAAGTTACATAAAAACTTGTGCACGCAGTCAGATAAAATCGCTTGAAAAATGCCAGCACGCACACGCGTGTCGCGGTTAATGGACACTGCCGCGGTGCAGTGAATGTGTTGATAAAATTTTCATTGTGTAATCAAAATTAAAATGCCAAAGCTTACCGCTGTGGCTGCAAGCCAGCCCCCCTGATTCGCACTTCTGAATGTCACAAATGCTTGAAGCTATGCGCGATTGATGGGTTGGCTCAGTGGCATGCATGAGCATACATATTGGATTTTGCAAAACTTACAAACTACGACGTCATGTAAGCTGCATTCATGAAATGGAAATACATTGCTTCGCGGTCGCTGACATTTCCAATGGGCTATGCATAACTTATCAAAAAAGTGAAAATTTGATTAGATATCCTCCCGTCAGGCATGGTTCCCAGCATGACACATTACCAACTACGCCATACGGGCTGGATAATTGCTCCTTATGCCTCGCTTTTTGGTCTCCACTTTTTTGTAATGGATCTAAGGCAGTTGTAATTGTCATTGCTGAATAGCCACCGGTGTGCTATTCATTCAAATAAATATGTACATTAGGGTGGATCGACAAAAAAAGTTTTTCCAGTCCACCCCTAGGATTAAAGATATTTTGAAGGCGACCCCAAAAAAAATTTTTTTTTTTTTGCCACGCCCCCCCGATGGGCTATTTTCTTTTTTTGACACTACGTCGCCATTTTAAGTCCGATTTTAATGAGCCGTACACCGTTGTTCCTAGCTTGCAAGCCGCCACAATTCTTACCTTAATCAAAAAAAAGAAAAATTTTCACAGAATTTAAAGGCCTTTTCGACAGACTAAAAAAAATTGGAATTTAGGTATGATGTGAAACGAGATACCGACAGTCACTACTAGAATTTGAACTCGGAGTAAAAAATGATTAAGGTAAGAATTGTGGCGGCTTCCAAGCCATGAACAACGGTGTACGGCTCATTAAAATCGGACTTAAAATGGCGACGTAGTGTCAAAAAAGTAAATAGCCCATCGGGGGGGCGTGGCAAAAAAAAAAAAATTTTTTTTGGGATCGCCTTCAAAATATCTTTAATCCTAGGGGTGGACTGGAAAAACTTTTTTTTTTGTATGGGGACCGATCCGCACTAATGTACATACATAGATGCAATGCAGGGTATGTGTGAATGTGTGCGTGTAAATTTTAACGCTTAAAGCATGACAGAAGGAGGAAATAATACAAGAAAGAATGAAACAAAGTCAACCAATAATAGTACAATTAAATAAGAGACGCAGTTCTCAACCGACTTATGTATCTTAGCTTCTGTAGATCATGTTATAACTCTCCGCATTGAGGCCTTAATTTTGTTTTTCTAAAACAATGGTGATATTTTATTTATATGAAACTAGTGATACCGAAAATTGAATTTAACTTTTGCAGCAGGTGATAACTCTATTTAAACGCATACAAAATGATTACTAATGTTTCATGTAAATCCATCCAGCCGTTTCTGAAAGAACAAAAGGTCTCGCATTATATATATGAACATATCGAGCCCTAACCGCCAAAATAACGTAAGCGACATTTTTTTCAAAATTTTCTTTTTGATGCAGAAATATTCCTAGAGCGTCTAGATGCATTTCTGCATCAAAAAGAAAATTTTGAAAAAAATGTCGCTTACGTTATTTTGGCGGTTAGGGCTCGATATATATGATTCAGTTTCCTCAGATGGGACACTTTTACTTGAAATAACAATGTCATAGTGAAAATTTAACACGGCGCCATACATGCACGGATATATCAACTGTTGGGGAAGTAGTATTAAACTAATACATAGCGACAAGGCTCATGTCTATCGCAATCGACAAGGAAGAAGGCATCTGTGGTTTAAGTTTTGACAGACATATGGACCTTTTTTTTGACTTTATTTTCTTCTCTCAACCAGTTTTGTATCATTGCTTTTTTCCATGATTTGACTAGTTATGATATCCTGGAGATTGATGAATTTTCCAAATCTGAGGCCATAGTAAATGTTTGAACAAAACTGTATAGTTACCTTGATTTGCGGAAAGGTAAGGAGAGAGAATGTTCAACGGTTAGAGGACGACTGACCACCGGAACGATATCGACGGTTGCGGAGACGATGGAGTATCGGTCAACTTCGGTTTTTCGCTAATGACGTCGTGCATATCGGTGAGCGCTGGCGGTTCGTTCGATGGCTTCTGACAACGGTAAGAGTATTAGCCTTAAAGTAGTCGCGTCCTTCAGTGAAGCGCGGATGATCGCGTAGGGAGCATTTTGCAGCACATATTTAAAAAGCTTTTATGTTGAAATTAATAGTTAACTGAATTTCAAATTATTTTATTAAGTCAGAATGATATATAAACAGCTTTAATTATATGACAACGCTTGACCTTTACAAATGTGTCATTTCAAAAATACGATGCAGTTTTTTAACCAGGGCGGCAATATGTTCATAGCGCGAGCACTCTTGGGTTAGATAGTGAAATCGTAAGAAGATCGTTGAGAGCCGGTGGCTGAATTTATGAATCGTTTGGTGGAGATTATCAATTAGTCGAAATATTTTTTTTTTTAAGTACATATTTTAAACTGAGAAAAGAGTTTAGTTATGTCAACTAAATATTATTTTATCAACATATAGTTTCGTTATAGTTTCATTATTTGGTATAGTTACAAATTATCTGTTGAGAGAAATATATTCAGCTGACATTTTTGAGAGTGCGCCGGATAAACGAACGAATGGGAAATTTTAGTATGAGCATTGAAGTCGGTTCCGCTTTTGTTTCAAAATTTGCTTGTATATGGATGTGTATTACTCCCTCAGCCCTCAGGCCAACATCTGCGTATTAGTGTCACGCGTGAGCAGAAATAACAACTGATTGCTGGAATTGCTCGAAGCCTAACCTCAGATGATTGCATATTTGATGGCGGTGTATATCAACACAACTTTCGTCAAAATTTTATGACTATGACAATTTAGGGGAAATAAATAATAAATAACGGAATGAGTGTGGAGTGATTGCCGGATGAGAATGGGAATGATGAAAGCTTTTGAATTCGTGAGTTAACCGCGCTGCTATGTGATACAACTGCGTAGGTGCTTTTGTAAAAACAAAATGCGTGTATGTTTGAGTGAGTGTCGTTCTACATATCTACACCTAATATGCATGTATTAAGGTAATGCATTGCAGCAACTGATGTGCGTAGTATGCCCATTTGTATGAATGGGTGTGTGTGTGTGTGTGTGTGTGCGATAAGTGCGGCACGTGCAAAAATTTATGTGAAACTTTCATGAGTGCCAACATTGCCAACCGTTCGTTCGAGTGTGAGGCATTACTCAAATGCTACACAAATTCATTTACAAACCAAAATGGCTACCACACAACATATAACGGGTGATTTTTTTGAGGTTAGGATTTTCATGCATTAGTATTTGACAGATCACGTGGGATTTCAGACATGGTGTCAAAGAGAAAGATGCTCAGTATGCTTTGACATTTCATCATGAATAGACTTACTAACGAGCAACGCTTGCAAATCATTGAATTTTATTACCAAAATCAGTGTTCGGTTCGCTTTACGTCCGATTTATGGTCTACATAATCGACCAAGTGAGCAAACAATTAATGCGATTGTGACCAAGTTTCGCACTCAGTTTACTTTATTGGACATTAAACCAACCACACGAATGCGTACAGTGCGTACAGAAGAGAATATTGCGTCTGTTTCTGAGAGTGTTGCTGAAGACCGTGAAATGTCGATTCGTCGCCGTTCGCAGCAATTGGGTTTGCGAAACACATTTCGAACCGAACACTGATTTTGGTAATAAAATTCAATGATTTGCAAGCGTTGCTCGTTAGTAAGTCTATTCATGATGAAATGTCAAAGCATACTGAGCATCTTTCTCTTTGACACCATGTCTGAAATCCCACGTGATCTGTCAAATACTAATGCATGAAAATCCTAACCTCAAAAAAATCACCCGTTACTACATACATACATATGTATGTAGGTAAATTGTAATTGTACTTTTTCCTTACAGTGTGCTACAGACACCGACAGATGTTTCGGTATGCGCTTAGGCTTGAAAATGTCGACATTAAAATATCAACAACAATTTGTACGCAATAGTGGAGATAAGCATACAGAGTCAAAGGCGTGGAAAAGTGTGTGTAAAAGAGCTGTTGAATGAAAGTAAAAACAACAAAATTTATTAAGAGAAGCAAGTGTGAACACATACTTATGTTTAAAAAGTTAACGGTGTATGCCGACACGTGTACAGAAATGTCCCTTGTGGCACATAACCCGCAAAAACTCTTAGTAAATACCACAAGCCAACGAGCGAACATATGTACATACATACATATGTCAGGTGCGCTTCAGCGAGAGTGTGGCAAGTTGAATGCAGCCAAAAAACCGTCCAGCATTGCTCTAAAAATGCATAAAAATTAATATTTCAAATAAAAAAACTACAATTGAACCGTTATAAAACCAAGCGCAGCACACAGTAAACAGAAGATTTAGTGAAAGGAAAAAAAATAAAGAAATAGCTATAAAAAATTTAATACCATAAATGAGAGTTTAATATCCACGTAAGAGGTTTGAAGAAAAGTTTCTGAAAGGCAAAAACAAAACAATAATTCATTTGAAATAATTTCAAGTAAATTCCTAACTATGCAAGTAAAAAAAATTGAACAAATTGAAATCAAAATTCCTACAAATTCATTCGTGCAATAAACGAACTGACTAAGGATAAGTTTAAAGATTCTTAGTGTTAATAAAATTGGCAGCCACAGGAATTTTTACCAGCTCAATCGCTCTTGTAATTATAAAAAAAAAAAACAACATCGCTGTTTTAAATATTCGTGCGTCGTCTAATAAAAACACCAACTCCAACAATAAAATTAACAGCAATACTACAAACATGGAACGCGCTTTGTCGATTTTGTTGTGCCTCATCTTAACAACGTTGCAGTTTATTTCAACACACGAACACGGTGATGGCTTTAAACCAGGTAAATACTGTACATACATATACATATATAAACACACATTTAATTTTTTAAGAGATAAATATGTAAGCAGTTATATATGTATTCTCTTCTGAAAAGTTGACGTATAGTTCTTTCGGTAAAGACTAGCTTCCGCCCCTTAACCCTCAATGATTCCGTCAATAATTTTTCGCATCCAGCGCGCCTATTGGACGGAGGTTTAGTTTGCCTTTTTTTTTTTTTTAAATTATGATTTCAATTGTAAATTGTGACGTCGAAAATATGCTAATGCTAATGCAAACTTATCATTCATATTTTCCCTTCAAAAAAATGTGTTTAGTCCTATATATATATTTATTTAAATCGCATAAAAATGCCTAGACTAAAATGAGGCAATTTCATAATTGTTTTTACAAAAAAAAATGTTACCCAAACACAATTTTTGGCCATATTTGGGAAGATTTTCTTTTTCAAATTTGTTAAAAATATATTTTTTCTCAAAAAAAAATAAATAATAAAAAAATTCGAAAATCCTTAGAAATTTATTCGTTGCAAAAGAAATCTTTTCACAAAGACGATATATTTTAATGTATAATTTTCTCAAGCACAAATAGTATATATTTTGAAAATTAAATTAAATTAAATTTAAATTATTATTTTAGGTAAGCAAAATAATTTTCTCCAAAAAATTATTTCTCCCAAAAAATATTCGATACTCAAAAAGTTTTTTTCTATATAAATTTGGTTAAATATTTTTTTTTTCGAAAATATATATTTTTTACTTAAAAAGGTAATGTTTTCCTCAAATCCTCAAAACAAATTTTTTTCTAAAAAGAAAAAATTAAAAAAGTGTTATTACGTACATACTTACTAGATACATATTAAATTGAAGTAAAATTTAAATTGGTATTTTGGTAAAAACAAATTTATAACTTCGAAAATAATTATTTCTCAAAAAAAAAAAACCTTAAAATAAAGTTTTCCAAACAACTTTTTTGGTATCTGGTAATTTTTGCAATTTTTTGGGAAATCTTTTTTTCTCAAGAAAATGTAGTTTTGATAAAAATTTATTTATTTTTTTTTAATAATTTTTCCTAAAATACCTGAAAATTAAAAAAAATAAAAAATATGGAAATATTATTTGCCAAATTTTTAGGTACTTTTGTTCTCAAATATTTTTCTTAAAATGACAATATAAAATTATAAAAACATACATACATAGCCGCCAAAAGGCTTACACTATTCTTTTGAGTGCAAAACTTTTTTGGAAACACGTTTCGCTTGAGTGCTAAAGCAGTTAACAGAACAGCCATTTCAGGCGCTTGTTTTCATATTTAAAATAGTAGCTTTTTAAACCTTTGCTGAGGTCATAATTAGAAGTTTATCCGAGATTTTCTAAAACCTTTTGGCATTTTTCATGGCAAGCCGCAAGCTTTGCCCAAATTCTGTGACATCTGAATATTCAAATACACATTTGTAAAACTGGCTGCTTGCTCTTATCCAGACACCCGATGTAAGCCATATCTACAGCTGTACCTCGGTACTTTGGTGTGGAATTATCAGAATTGTTTTTTTTCATATTGGATTACTTCTACATAGACGGGGATTGCTATTCAAATGCTGCTTAGCCTACACCGGAAGTTTTGATTTGCTTCAACCTCAACAAATCTTTTTTGAGAAAGCTATTTTCTTCATTTATTAGTTGGTCGTTTATTGTCCTAAAAATTTCAGAGTCAGGTTATCTCGCATTATGGTTAGCTAATTTTAGAAAGATTTTCCAATTTACTCATTCCATTGGTGCAGATAAAAATAGAGTTGACCAAGAGAATGAGATGTCAGTGTCAAAACAAATTATCTCTCTCAAAAAGTGCAGTACATATTAACATTCTTACATACAGCTATGTATTTGAAACTTTCTGCACATTTACAGCAGCATTTTCACAAAGCTTTCAATTAAGTAGAAATGGTTACTTTGAGCACCAAAGCTGCGCACATAATGCCACCAACAAACAGTGCAATCAAGCGCCAGAGCTGTAAACAATTGCCTGTTGACGATGACAACAAAATCTAATTAACTCAGCTAATTCCCAAAATGGCTACAAAGGTTGTCATAACAGTGAATACGAAGGGAAATGAGTGAAGCTACTATGTTTAAGGGTACTTGCTTGTTGTTGACCTGCGTTAAAAAGTGTTTACAAAAGCGGCAAAATTGCAATGGAAGATATGAAGGAGAGATGGACGTAAAGTAGCTGCGCTACGTTTTATGTAACTGCTTTTAATCTGCGTACAGAGCAAGGCACAATTTTTGCATTCACAAATTATAAGTTTACAGAAAATACTTTGTCGGTTTTGTTTTTGCCAAGAAAGTTGTTTTAATTATTTTTAGGGTATTCTTCTTAATACGATTTGGGAAGATTCACTGAGGCTGTAAGAGCGCGGTAAGGCTTGGCAAGGTAATTATTTTGAAAAGCTTGCTAAATCAAAAAAATTCGAAAAGTTATTGCAAGGCGCAGTCGCACCATGCATGTAATACTAATTTCACACAGAAATTTAATTTGAAGGTACATTTGGTACAAGCACACAATTTTAGGTATATTTGAGACGTAGCCCAATAACTTTTCAGGAAATCCTTCCTTATTTTTATTGATATTTAAATGCATTTTCTAGTTTTGTAACTTGTGCAATAGCTTCTCCCCTATGTGAGGGGGCATACCAATGATACCTTCTAAAGGCTGTTTAAAGCAACGTAACTGTTAATTATTGCGCCATATATTTGGACAGACAATATTAATTTTTAAAACGTCAGATCGAAGAACTCGGATGAAAGTGATTCACCTTTTCTGTATTTTTATGATCAAAATTTAATGTGAGTCCAAAAGTATGTGGTAGAGAAGGAATGTAATCCTCTTATTTTTTAATATAAATACGTATTTACTCCTTGGAACATTAACCTACTTCTAGGTAAAGTTTTTCCTCAAATTAGGTAAAATTAGAAAACTAGATTTTCTATCCTTGATGGAATTGAGCTGTAAAAGGGTACCAGAAACAAACAGCTAATTGCTATTTGTTCAATATATGTACATACCTCGAAGTCAAAATTTAGGGCACCCAGCAGGGTTGCAGGAAAAAATGTACTCAATTAGCGCTCAATTAAGTACTAATCAAGCAATCTGAATTGAAATTTTGTATGTTAAATGCAGCTCAATTAGCGTTTTAATCGAGACAATTGGCTAATTGCCCGATTAACTGCCTGTCGGAAAATAGTAAATAGTTGATTGGTTGACATTCGACAGCAGAGTGTAATTTCATTGCCACATCCAGAGGCGCATCTGTCTTTTCAGCAAGCTGATACCTGCGGCTTCTACTGCGTAGCTTACCTCTCTTCCATATACTTGCAGCAGATTTTTTAAGCTAAAAATGCAGTTTTCATGAATTTAAAAACAATCTCCCTAAGCCATACTTTAGACGAAACTGACTCTAAACCATAAATATGGATTTACTGTAAATCTCAACTACAGAGTCATCTAAAGGATTTATTTTTGGTAAGTGTATTCTCATCATAAATACAGTATCTATACATTTTCAATTTGGTTTATTTTTGCAAATTTACGTATGCAGTATAAATACGTTTCTAATATCACCAAAATAGGACCATAAATATTGATTTTCTGAATAAGCCTCAAGCCCCTCAAGCGGATTAATTTCTCGTGATATTATTTCTCATAAAGCCTACAGTATTTGTTTTTAATTTCATCAAAATCGAATCATAAGTACAGATTTTCAGAATAACTCGATTCCAGCGCCACCTCGTGGATCAACTTTCCTAAAGTACCTACTTCTCGTCGTACCCCCAGTGTAGGTTTATCATTTCATCAAAATCGGATCATTACTTACTACTTTACTACTCCTTTTATCTCGTAAAACTACTTTTCGTCGCTCCTCAGTATATGTTTCTAATTTCAGGAAAATCGGTTCACAAATGAAGATTTTCTGAATATCTCGACTTATGCGCCACCTAGCGGATTGTAACCTATGTCTTCGTACATACTGTCCGAATTTGGTTGAAATACTTTCATTCGTTTTTCAGCCAAGTTTTAAAAATAAAACGGGAAGAATTTTTTTATTTATATACATAAGGGTGCATCACCCTCCATCCAAAAAATATCGATATTGGTGTTCCATAGGAATTATAAAAATGTATTATATTTTGAAACATTCGCCAAACTATATCAAAAAAATATTAAGATTTACCTGAGCTGTGTCTATTTGAAAATTCTTTCAAGAATGTGATTTTTTTTTTCCGTTGGTAAGACGTTCAATGAATTTAATACAGACATTTTAAGCTTAAACTCGTTTATCACCTGAGGTAATTTTTTGGAAAAAATATTTTTCATAATTAATTTTAGTTATTTACAAAAAATCGAAATATCCGGATTATTACTGAAATTGCTAGTTCTACGGAATATTTTTCCTTGTTTGTCATTTTTGCAAACATCTTTGGTCCTTTTACCTGTTTTTTATGGGCAAATCAT